AAACCCCGAAACCCGGCCTAAATCCCCAAAACCCGGCCCAAAACCCCGAAACCCGGCCTAAATCCCCAAAACCCGGCCCGAAACCCCGAAAGCCGGCCAAAAACCCCAAAACCTGGCCCGAAACCCGGCCCAAAACCCAGCCCAAATCCCCAAATCCTGGCCCAAAACCCCAAAACCCGGCCCAAAACCCCAAAACCCGGCCCAAATCCCCAAAACCCAGCCCGAAACCCGGCCTAAATCCCCAAAACCCGGCCTGAAACCCCGAAACCCGGCCTAAATCCCCGAAACCCGGCCCGAAACCCGGCACAAATCCCCAAAACCCGGCCCGAAACCCCGAAACCCGGCCTAAATCCCCAAAACCCGGGCCGAAACCCGGCACAAATCCCCAAAACCCGGCCCGAAACCCAGCCTAAATCCCCAAAACCTGGCCCGAAACCCGGCCTAAATCCCCAAAACCCGGCCCGAAACCCCAAAACCCGGCCCAAAACCCCAAAACCCGGCCTGAAACCCCGAAACCCGGCCCAAAACCTGGCCCGAAACCCCAAAACCCGGCCCAAATCCCCAAAACCCAGCCCAAAACCCAGCCCAAAACCCAGCCCAAATCCCCAAAACTCTGCCCAAACTGAGCCCAAATCCCCAAATCTGATCCCAAATCCCTGAAATCTGTTCAAAATCCCCAAAATCAGATCCAAAATCTCCCCCAATCTCCCCCAAATTCCCCAGAATCTCCCCCAAAATCTCCCCCAATTCCCTAAAATCCCTCCCAAAATCCCGAAATTCTCCCCGATCCCCGCCCTGACCTCGTTTTCCCCCAGGGAACATCGAGACCAACCACAACCTCCCCCCCAGCCACAAATCCCGCAACAACCTCATCAGGTGGGCTGATTTGCATATTTTGGGGTCTGATTTGCATATTCTGTGAGCCGATTTGCATGTCTTGGGGGTTCGTTTGCAAGTTTTGGGGGTTTTTTCCATGTCTTGGGGCTTCATTTGCATGTCTTGGGGGTTAAATTTCCATTTCGAGGGACATTTGCATGTTTTGGGTGTTGATTTGCATGTTTTGGGGTTCATTTGCATATTTGGGGTTTCAGTTTGCATATTTGGGGTTCATTTGCCTGGTTTGGCTGTTACTTTTCACATTTGGGGGGCTCATTTGCATGTTTTGGGGTTAATTTGCATGCTTTGGGTTTGATTTGCGGTTTGGGGGTTAATTTGCATAGTTGGCTGTTGATTTGCATGTTTGGGGGTTCTTTGCCCATTTTAGGGATTTATTTGCCTTTTTTTGGGTCCATTTTTATGTTTTGGGGTTGATTTGCCTGTTTGAGAGATTCATTTGCATGTTTTGGGGTTAGTTCGCATGCTTGGGTCTTGATTTGCATGGTTTGGGGGTTAATTTCCATATTTAGGGTTCGTTTCCCTATTTGGGGGGTTAATTGAGACATTTTGGGGGTTAATTTGCATTTTTGGGAGTCCATTTGAATATTTTGGGGGCCGATTGCACATTTTAAGCTTTTATTTACACCTTTGTAGGTTCACTTGGATATTTTGGGGGGTTGATTTGCGTATTTTGGGAGCTCATTTGCATATTTTTGGGGGGCTGCCAGGACCAGCCTGGATCTCTACGCCAACGTGATTCACTGCCGGAGCCTGCCCGGGGTGGAGACGCGGCACCGGGACATCGACATCCTCATCGTCAGGGAGAACACCGAGGGCGAGTACAGCTCCCTGGAGCACGAGGTGTGCCCCAAAAACACCCAAAATCACCCCAAAAATATCCCCGAAACGTCCCAAAAAACCCCGCAAAAATATCCCAAAATATCCCCAAAAATCCCCCAAAACATCCTCATCGTCAGGGAGAACACCGAGGGCGAGTACAGCTCCCTGGAGCACGAGGTGTGCCCCAAAAACACCCAAAATCGCCCCAAAAGACATCCCAAAAATATCCCAAAAACACCCAAAAAATACCCCAAAAACATCCCAAAAAACCCCGCAAAAACACCCCAAGAATACAAAAAAAAATCCCAAAAAATGTTCCGTAACCACCCCAAAAAAACCCTCAAAGACGCCCAAAAAATACCCCAGAAATACCCCAAAACCACCCAAATACACCCCAAAAAATACCCCAAACCCCCCAAAATATCCCAAATTCCCCCAAAAAACAACTTGGGTGTGATGCCACGCCCGTGCCACGCCCCGTTGGTGACGCCACACCCGTGCCATGCCTGTGCCACACCCTGTGGGTGATGCCACACCCGTGCCACGCCCTGTTGGTGACACCCCACCCCTGCCACGCCCGTGCCACACCCCATGGGTGCCACCCCACCCATGCCACACCCTGGGGTTGATGCCACACCCGTGCCCCACCTGTTCCCAACCCGTGCCCCACCCGTGCCACACCCGTGCCACACCCGTGCCACACCCGTGCCACACCCGTGCCCCACCCGTGCCCCACCCGTGCCCCACCCGTGCCCCACCCGTGCTACACCCGTGCCACTCCCGTGCCCCACCCGTGCCCCA